CCACGCCCAGCTGATTTTTTCATTTATTGTAGAGATGAGGTCTCGCTGCCCAGGCAAGTCTCGAACCCGCGGGCTCAGGCAATCCATTCACCTCAGCCTCCCAAAGACATGGGATCACAGGCTGAGCCACCAAGCCTGGCTGAATAATTTTTTAATTTATTGTAGAGACCAGGTCTTGCATGTTGCCTAAACTGGTCTCAAATCCCTGGACTCAGGCAATCCAATTGCCTTGGCCTCTCAAAGTGCTAGGATTACAGGTGTAAGCCACCATGCCTGGCTTCTTTCTTTTCCTATAAAAGTGACACATTAAGGACGGGCTTGGTGGCTCAGCCTGTAATCCCAGCACTTTGGGAAGCCGAGGCGAGTGGATTGCCTGAGCCTGTGGGTTTGAGATCTGCCTGGGCAACTTGGTGAGACCTAGACTCTACAATAAATCAAAAACTAGGCCGGGCTCAGTGGCTCAGCCTGTAATCCCAGCACTTTGGGAGGCCGAGGTGAGTGGATTGCCTGAGCCCGCGGGTTCGAGACCCACCTGGGCAACTTGGTGAGACCTCATCTCTACAATGAATCAAAAATCAGTCGAGCATGGTAGCGCATGCCTGTAATTCCGGTTACTCGGAAGGCTGAGGCAGAAGGATCGCCAGAACCCAGCAGGTCAAGGCTGCAGTGGCCGAGAGAGGCTACTGCACTCCAGTCTGGGTGACAGAGTGAGACTCCAACTCAAAAAAAAAAAAAAAAAAAATCAAAACTAGTCAGACGTGATAGCGAGCACCTATAGTTCCGGCTACTTGGAAGGCTGAGGCGGAAGGATCGCCGGAGCCCAGCAGGTGGAGGCTGCGGTGGCCGGGAGCATGCCACTGCACTCCAGTCTGGGCAATAAAGTGAGACTCCAACTCCAAAAAATAAATAAATAAATAAAAGTGACACATTGGTTGGGCTCATTGGCTGGGCTCATTGGTAGCTCAGCCTGTAATCCCAGCGCTTTGGGAGGCCAAGGTGAGTAGACTGCCTGAGCCTGTGGGTTCAAGACCCACCCGGGCAACTTGGCAAGACCTCATCTCTACAATAAATCAAGAATTAGCCGGGCGTGGTAGCATGCACCTGTAGTTCTGGCTACTTGGAAGACTGAGATGGAGAGATCGCCAGAGCCCAGTGGGTTGAGGCTGCGGTGGCTGGGAGCGTGTCACTGTACTCTAGTCTGAGCCACGGAGTGAGACTCCAACTCAAAAAAAAAAAAAGTAACACATTATAAAAATTTTAATAAAGAAAATAAAAATCAAACACTACACATGAGGATAAATATATGGTGTGACAATTAAGTTTGCAAACTTGCCACCATGTGCACACACTGGCAACACTGTACAAACAACCCAGTAAGGTTTCATAACTTTGGTATATTAATATCTCACAGCTGTGTTCATGTCAATGTGTGGCAGTGTTTTGCTGAGTGGCATTCATTATTGTTGCTTGTTTTTGTGTGCCATTGCATGTTGGAGCTTGAATTAGAGCAACAAACAAACAAGTTTCTTGTTAAACTTGGCAAAAGTGGAAGTGAAATCAGGGACATGTTAGTCCACATTTATGGGGGATAATGCCATGAAGAAAATGGCTGTATACAAATGGATTAAATGTTTTTCTGAGGGGAGAAAATATCATCGATGAAGTGAGGTTAGGACAGCCAGTAACAAGCAGAACTGACAAAAACACTGCAAAAATTTGTTGAACTATGCATCAGAATCGTTGACTGACTATGAGAAGCATAGTAGACCAAACAACCATAAATAGACAAAGTTAGGAAAATAGCATGTAAATACCACTACACCTGGCTAATTATTTTATTTTTTTTTTTTATTTATTTATTTTTGAGTTGAAGTTTCACTCTGTCGCCCAGACTGGAATGCAGTGGTCGCTCCCAGCCACCGCAGCCTCGACCTGCTGGGTTCCGGCGATCCTTCTGCCTCAGCCTTCCAAGTAGCTGGAACTACAGGCGCGCACTGCCATGCCCGGCTAATTTTTGATTTATTGTAGAGATGAGATCTTGCCAAGTTTCCCAGGCAGGTCTCGAACCCGCGGCCTCAGGCAATCCACTCACCTCAGTCTCCCACAGCGCTGGGATTACAGCCTAAGCCACCAAGCCCGGCTACGAAAATCTTAACTGAAAATCTTGGCATGAGAAATGTGTGTGCAAAAATGGTCCTAAAGGTGCTATTGCATCACGAAAATGCACCAGCTCACACAGCACTGTCTGTGAGGAAGTTTTTAGCCAGTAAACAAATAACTACATTGGAACACCCTCCCTACTCACCTGATCTGGCCCCCAGTGACTTTTTTCTTCACCCGAAGATAAAGAAAATATTGAAAGGAAGACATTTTGATGACATTCAGGACATTAAGGGTAATACAAAGACAGCTCTGATGGCCATTCCAGAAAAAGAGTCCATAGTGATATTCAGCAATGAGGTATAGAGCACTTTTTCTAGGATTAGTTTGCAAAATCAGACCTCAAATGTTCTTTTTTACTATGCAAAATAGATATATGTGTTTGTTGTGTTTATTTTGTAAAGAATAATGGAATGTCTATATATTCTGTTTTATAGTCCCCCACCTACATTTACTGAATCATGACTGTCTTCCCAAGTCCTTAAAAACATTCTTTCAAGGCATGTTTTTTTGTTTGTTTGTTTTGTTTTGTTTTTTTAGTTGGAGTCTCGCTCTGTCGCCCAGACTGGAGTGCAGTGGCACACTCACGTCCACCACAGCCTCGACCTGCTGGGTTTAGGCAATCCTCCGCCTCAGTCTTTCAAGTAGCTGGAACTACAGACACACGCCACCACGACTGGCTAGTTTTTGTGATTTATTGTAGTTGCCCAGGCTGGTCTTGAAGCCCCAGGCTCAGGGAATCAATCCTCTTGCCTCGGCCTCCCAAAGTGCTGGGATTATAGGTTGATGCACCATGTCTGGCCCCAGCTAATTTTTTGATTTACCGTAGAGATGAGGTCTCGCCAAGTTGTCCAGGCTGTTCGTGAACCCATGGGCTCGGGCAATCCCCTCATCTTGGTCTCCCAAAGTGCTGGGATTACAGGCTTGAGCCACTGTGCTTGGCCTCAAGGCATTTTTAATCTTATGGATATACTCTAGGATACTTAACTAGTTTCCTATTGATGAAGATTTTTCTTCTATTAAACAATGCTGCACTGAGCATCTTGGTTGATAAATCTGCACATATTCAGGATTATATTAAAACAAACTCTGAGGATTAGAACTGCTGGATCAAAGATTTTTAGGGCTTTTGAACATTACAAAAATATTTCCAGAAAAGTAGAAACAATTTATTCTCCCATAAGTAGTGTATGAATGCCTATTTACCAACACCAGTTGGGCATTTAATCTTAGAAATCCTGTCAAGGTATGGAAAAAAGGAAGGCCAGGCATAATTTAAAAATTCTTGGTTCTCAGTCCAAGAATGTCTTTAACATAAGGTGCTGACTTCATGTCCTACTGCTCTAGCCTTTGATCTGTTTTCTCTAGCCACACCAGCATCATTGCTGTTCCTCAAATGTGCCAGGCACAGCCCAGCCTTAGGGACTTACACATGTCTCCCCTCTATGCGAGCCTCCTCCCCCAGGTCTCTGCATGGCTAAGTCCCTCAGCACCTTCAGCTCTTTGCTCCAATACAACTTTGCAGTGAAGCCTGCCCCGTGCGCCCTGTTCAATACCTGCCAGTCACCTAGCCACATTCCGTACACTGGATCCTTCTCACCGGGCTCTACTTTTCTTCCTCAGTACTTACCATGTTCTAGTATATTATGTGTACTGTTTACGGTATGTATCTTCTAGCTAGAAAATACATTTCGTAAGTGTAGGGACTGTCATCTGTAGACAATAAATACTTGCAGACTAAACAAGAGAAGCATAGTTTATGGATGATACCACCACTGGAGGGGGCGTCCACTTTAGTGGACCTTCTAGGCTCTGTACCTGGTTCAATTTCTTGAACTCCACCACTTGGAAGAAGATGTGTTCAAGGATATGTTTGGCATCTTGTTGATCCTTTGGTAGTTTACTGGTTACTCCAAGAATGTCACCACACTTCCTGACATAGAATTCCAGGTCTTCCTCAGTACCTACGCACAGTTGGGGTAGTTAGATTAACCCTTAACTCTGCCCTTCCCCAAGTACAGATTTAGTGTGGTTTAGGTATCCTCTATCAAAGTTTCCACATTTTTTATGATCACTCTCCTCTTCCTAGAGTAGTATGACCACAGGACTTCAACACTAACAAACTCTAGAGATCCCTAATGTACTGCTTTTATAAATTACAACAAAAATGTGATGCTCTTAATCAGAATAAAGAAGAACTGTTTCTGGCTTTCCTACTCCCAAGATCTAGCATTCCTATATTACAAAGAACAGGAGCAACCAGTAGGAAATCAAATGATAATTCTGTGAATGCAACAAGGATCACTATGAGAAGGGCATAGGAGTGATTTAAAACAGCATTTGCTATAACAATATTATAGAAAGAAAATAAAAGAAGAAAAAAAAAAATCACCAATAATCCCATCAATAACACATCACCCATAATACCATCAATACCTCCAACAGCTCTATGTAGAGCATAGACAACACCAGCTTTCTCACAGTATACTGTGATTTATTTTTCCCCTTCTGACTTGCATTTTTTAAAGTTATGATAGAACTGTGAAGTTTTTTTGTTTTTGTATTTTTTTTTTTTGAGTTGGAGTCTCACTCTGTCACTCAGACTGGAGTGCAGTAGCCGCTCCCAGCCACCGCAGCCTCGACCTGCTGGGCTCCGGTGATCCTTCCGCCTCAGCCTTCCAAGTAGCTGGAACTCCAGGCACACGCTACCACGCCCGGCTAATTTTTGATTTATTGTAGAGACGAGGTCTCGCCAAGTTGCCCAGGCGGGTCTCGAACCCACGGACTCAGGCAATCCACTCACCGTGTTTTTGTACTTTTTTGAGTTGGAATTTCACTCTGTCATCCAGGCAGGAGTGCAGTGGCACGTTCACGACCACTGCAGCCTCGACCCGATGGCTCAAGCTACCATTCCGCCTCAGCCTTCCAAGTAGCTGGAACTATAGGCATGTGCCACCTCACCTGGCTAATTTTTTGATTTATTGTAGAGATGCGGGCTTGCTAAGTTGCCCAGGCTGGTCTCGACTGCATGGGCTCGCAAAGTGCTGGGATTATAGGTGTGAGGCACTGCACCCAGCCTGTAAATTTTTAAAATTAAGACATTCAAACATATCCTAGCTCTATCCCACCAATACTATCTCGAATAATTATTGCTCTACACACCTCTGTATAAATACAAGTTTAAACACAAATGGGATCAAACTATAAGAGTTCTGTAAGATGTCTTCAATATTCAACAATGAGCCGGGCTTGGTGGCTCAGCCTGTAATCCCGCGCCTTTGGGAGGCTGAGGTG